GAATTGAATGCCCTTCAAAATGATGTGCCACTTGACCCCCCTTTCCATTTGAAATTCTGAGGGTAACATCCACCCCTCCTAGGGGGTTGAACCCCGAGGGTTGAAAATATTCATTCAGAGTGTCCCCCTTGCAAATAAAGTTGACCTGTCTGACCATTTTTTCATATTATGTACTGGAAGGGAGATATTGAGGGTGGGAAGTTTTCAAATTGACACACTGTATATTCAATTCAAATGAATTCACACATATAATAAAAGCCGAAACTGTAGAACATAGAAGGAGCAAGATTTTAATATAATATTTCCTGCTCACACAAAACTACAGTTATTTCAACTAAAATAATTTGTTGTATTGATAGCTCTCAGACATCAAATATTCATTCAAAACCTAACCTGAAAAATACATCATTAATTCACCCAGTAGCTTCACTGATTTTACATACTGAAGAATTACATTTGGTTTTCTTTTTCAGATATACAGATTGGGAAACGCTTTAGTGTCGTACTTCATATACACTCTTCGATAATTCAATATTCAATTTATTCATCTGTGAAAAATAAAACATATTGGAATTTCTATAATTATGTCGATGAGTCAAGAAAAATACGAATGAAGATATCAGAGGAAAAAACATGTGTGCATTTCGGGAGGCCCGACAGGAATGATAACTTGAACTAATTTAGGTTGAACTATTCAATATTGAAATTGTTCAACTTGAGGAAAGCTTAGGTTATCACTGAAAGTTTATGTATAATAATATGATGATGTATGAAGAAGTTATTTATCAACGAAATCTTTTATTGATTATTTTGTGTATGTACATATATTATAGCTATCATAATTGTTACTTCTGTAGGATTAAATAATGATACTAATAATGTACATACACAAAACTAGTATCATCATGACTTCGTAGGTACGTGCGGCAGATACCCAACGGAAAAATAACAACTAACCCAGCTAATGCCGCGCAGATAAATGAAGTAAAACCATTAGGCACATGTGCAACATATTCGATTCGGAAGATTGGTCGCAAGTTATTTTCCACTATGGAAAGCAGATATCAATTTCGTTTGGTACATACGACCAACCGATAGATCGGTTTCGGGGTGCTTGCCCCTTTGTTCATTTTATTTTTCGTTTATGGTTAAGCATTGTGGATAAAATTTGATATTGTCCTGTAAATGGGTAATTGTTGGACAATAAATCCATTATTATTATTATTATTATTTTCACCGTAGTGTGCGCTGGTCAGGCCCTACATTCGGGAGGGCGCGCCAGCATTATCAACCAATGACCACTCCCCACACCGTGGGGTAAGTGATCATTGGGTCCGAGAATCATGTGTACTGAGCATGCGCAGTGAACCAAGAATGACAGCCTTCGGAAAGTGTGCGGCTAAGATTTCTGCCTTAGTGCGGCAAGCCGGTATGATTATGATTTATTATTATCATTATTATTATTATCATCAGTACCAGGCATGGTCTTTTCATGGTTTAGTCGTATCGACCAAACGAAATTAATTTCTGCTTTTCATAGTGAAAAATAGCTTTCGACGAATCATCCATATCGAAAACGTTGCACAGGTGCCTGATGGTTTTACATCCACCCTCTGCGCGGCATTAGCTGGGTTGCTTTTCCGTTGGGTATCTACCACACGTACCTACAAAGTCGTAGGTCTACTTAAGAGGAAAGAGGAAACCATCCACTGGTGTTCATATGACAGATTGGGTTTTTCACATATCTGAACACATTATCAGCAATTCAATAATTTTGTTATACCTACATAAAATTCATTATGATAATTTATTTCACAATTCTCCCAATATTGATGTATTTTACTTAAATCGTGTTTCACTAATTCACTTTACATCATTTATATATTCAACTTTCATTTAGATGTCACATTTTTAAAGTGTAATCATACCTTAGTATGTGGTGCCACAGCCAAGCAACACTCAAGTTATTCAGCAACAGGGCTATGGTTTGGGTCACAGATCATACATTTATTTGTTTGACGTTAAATGTCAAAAGAATTTGAGCTTTGTCATTGGCTGGGACTCCACATGTATGAATTAATTGCATGTCATATGTCATCCTCAAAATTTGATATTTCCGCATGATCCTCCTCAATGAACAACAGGTGGTTTTCTTCTTTAAAAAAATGAAATATCAGTCATGATGCGAATTATTTGTGTTTGTCTTGAACATGCTGAGGTTATTTTTTGGTCTCTACATCTATATTTGTTGTGTCAACATTTTAATCTTCTTGTCGCCTTACCTCACATACACTATGATTTTTTGACTAATCTCTCTTTATGGATATAATCTGTTTCATCATCCATATTGTAGAATCCCTGATGATGGTAATGAAAATTGTCGAAAGCATGAAATCTGTGTTATGAGAGTACAGTCTCAATGTTTTGTTGGATTTATATTGTTCAGAATTGTTTAGTATTACAAGTAATACAAAATATCAAGTAATCGTTAACTTAATATGTATATATGTGTTAACACACATATACGTCATTGCTTCTATGATTTATTCACAACGATATTCTTACAGATTGTGAATAATGTAATACCACGGAAGCAGAACTGCCTGTGTGTGGATATACATACATATATGCGGATAATATAAAGTAATATAACAATATAAACAATCAGAGTAATATGAGAGGTCACAATTCGAAAAAAAACATGCTTAACTAATTTATATGTAAAATTTATGTAAATGTTTGGGTCACTATATAAAAAACTATCAAAATAGTATAGTATGTTTATATAGAGTTATTATGTGAAAATGTGAGTTTCTTTTCATGAAAATTATCATGAACAATTGATATAGTAATTATTGAAATCGTTATTTTTCTTTCATGTTTTTTCTCTCAGTTTTTAGTAATGCTAAAGATATATAGAAATTCATAATATAGACGCTGCGGCGGTGGACTTGTTATTGATAAATCGTATTATATTATATTATTCAACCTTTCATTAGGAGGAATCACCTCCTTAAAAGTTTTTCACTTATTTAGTTTCACCCTGTATTATTGAACTTACTTTTCATTAGGAGATTCTGTAATGTTCTGACAGTAGCGTATGTCCGACAAAAGAGGAGGAGCCTGCCTGCCGCTGCCGTATGCGTGATACTAGGTCCGTAACGAGTTACATTACGTTACGAGGCGACACACCCTCCCATAGGAAGTCATCACTTTAAAAAGTGATTGAAAGTTTTTGAAAGAATATTTCAATTCTTGCTTGAAGAAACAAAATTCAACAATTTTGTTTCATTTTATTATTAGATACAAGCGAACCACCCCAGCTCCGCACGGGTGCAATACTGCTAATCATAAAGTGCTATAGGAAAAACTCGGCCTACGACACGCCGTTTATAGGAACGCGCCCCCGGTCGGTACCGTCGCAACCGCTATGTCCCTGCATTTCAAATATGTGATATTTTCAAAAATATTCATTTGAGTCACATGCTATGGAGGGTCATATTGATCTATATTGAATGAACAATGGATTAGAGGAACTCAATTGGATAAGGATTTATGCTGTATTTCTCAAAATCGCTTCGTCAAAAATGTAACGATATGAAATGGTTATTGCGAGTTATTCCTGAGAGATAGACATATACAATCGCGAACTTGTTTGTAGACCTTTTCATGGTGTTCAATACTGTAGTACATTATTTTGATCTCTCGTAGGGTTCAGCCAGCGTAAACGCAAAAAAATTTGTTTATTAACGATACCACATTAGAAACCTCTAAAATGATCAGTGTTTCTCTACTTTATTATGCATGTCATATAGATTTACCTTCTTCTTGAGTCACTCTATTCATTCAAACAACCCACATCAAAATCCGTTGTTGAAGATCTAAGCATACATAGGGACAGACAGCGGTAAGCGGCTTTGTTTTATACTATTGTTAGGTTTTTTCCCGCGGATTCACCAATAATTGGCTACACTGTGTACAATAATCAAACCATACTTCATTTTCACTGTTAATACAACAAAAAACTTCAACTGTTGCATCATCTTTTTTTAGGGAATGATTCACAACACTACCCATTTCTCTGAGGTTGTTCGCCCCGAACAACATTTCAAGTGGAAACTTAAAGACCCATGTAAGGACTCAGTCCCTCTATGTGGACAAAGTTAGACTTAATCCTATGTGACAATTGGATTCTGTTCACCAGATCGTTTATCTTTTCGGTTACCAAGTGAAATCCTTGCCGTGGTCTCTGCATATTGGGAGCTTCTGTATACCAACTGGAAGGGGGGAACCAATTTATCCCAGTCAGACTGTGGGCGAGAAGCAGTTGTTCTTGTCTTCTTTATTCCCAACAAAATCATCATTTTCTTTTATGAATCCGACTCGAAGTTGCAATCCTGGTCCGAGTGTTTCTGCTGTGGTACTCCGTGTTTGGCGATTACGTTATGCAACAGGACTTCTACTGCCGTTTTAGTCTCTTGGTTTGGTGAGGCTACTACTTCAGGTCATTCAGAGAAATAATCCTTCACAACCATAGAGTACTTGTTACCGGATGTGGTCATAGGGAGTGGTTCTAAAATGTCAACTGCGATTCTCTCGAAAGGCACTTGCTGGGGCACTGCTTCAACTTTTCTTTTTGCCTTGTCTTCGGAGCCTTTCTCGAAGAGCACAGGTCACAGCGCTCACACCACTCTTTCACGTCTCGCTGGCAATTGACCCAATAGCACCTCTCACGCACTCACGCAATTTCTATTCACTACGAAAAGCCCTCCCGTGCGACCATCGTGGTGCTGTTCTGGTATTTTCGCGATTCACGTCTTTGGAAAGATCATCTGGAATTTGTATGTTACTCCAATTGAGCCTTTCCATTTACGAGTAGGTAGGTCATCACGAATGCACATGGATTTCCACTGAAATCAGTAGCACTTTTTCTACTGACCGTGCTTGGAGATCTCTTGCCATTCCGGCCTCTCTCCTTCGTCAATCCATTTCTGTATAGTTTTCAAGACCGGATCCTACTTATGCACTACGATATCTTGCCCCGTCATACTAATAGCGTCACCCTCGGAGGCTATTAATGAGCGTACCACACCATGGTCAGGTGATTTCTCAGAATTTCTGTCCGGATACCTGAACAAGGAACCCTCATAGGTTGCTTCTTTCCGTGTCTCAAGAAACCCAAAGCAGCGGGAGGTACGTGAACTCATCTTCCTATCTATCAGAGCTGTCCATTACGGAGTTTCTACCCGCTACCTTGTCAAGGCTAATGGAAAATTCTTCTGGTAGCTGGGTTTCCTTGTCCTCCTGACATTGATAAAATTCACATCCGGATATCAGATATGGTAACCCCTCCAAGCTTACCATCGACTGCTATTTCCAATCCCTCCTTTGTTTCCTGAATTACTTTATGAAATTCTTCTTGAATAAATTCCTGTACCTCCCGTTCACTTGAGAAGTTTTTGAATCCTCAAATAAGTGAAAGTACATCTCAAAATTCGAAATACCATCATATGATCAACATTTAGCTGGACAGCAATCTTTCTAGTACTGGTAGTAGGTTGTTCTTCAATCAAATTAAGTATTGCTTCCTCAAGCTATGGTGTTCGTACTTTTCGATGGCGACCACAATCCTGCGTTCTTTTTCGAATGAACCATATTCTCGTAATCGTTGATAAAGTCGAGCAAATATTCTACGTGAAGGATGCTGCCGTTGAGGATATATTTCAGCATATCTTTCAGAAGCTTCTAACCCATTCCCTTGCGACAGACCGTAAACGTAATGCATATCAGCCATTTCCTCATTTGTGTATGCCATTTTAATAACAAGTGAATTGTTAAACTAACAAATTGAGAACAGAACAACAACACACAATTAGTATTATTTCAATTTCAAAAATTCACAAAGTGACAGCGTCATATTTGTTTATATGAAAGATCCTATCTTTTTTTCGATGAGGAATTATTTCCTTAAATGTTTTACACTTATTTAGTTACACCCTGTATTATTCAAGGATCATGTAATGATTGTTATTAATATACGAGTATTAACCGGGATATGTAATTACTCGTATTTCTTTAAAAAATTCTTCAATGATATCACTTCGGGTGTTATCATAGATATAGGAAAAATATAAACATTCTATTTATATTGATATTGAACTTAATAATTGTAATTATTCCGATTCCTCAAGAATATCGAAGTTATTCATTTCTCAGTTTGGAAAGTTT